GGAGATTCATCTGAGCCTCACAATCCTGCTTCGACTGACAGCTTTGCCTCCATCCATCCAGCTCCTCGGGCCCCTGCTTCTGACAGCAGGATGCAACAGCGTTTAGTGTCAGCCAAGAGGAATGTGTGCGAGCTGCGACTCCAGTTGAACCAGCTCAGACAGTTACAGGTACTCAACTCTGCTCACTATTTACAGTTAATGCAACACAAGTAATAAAGTTATTAATAATAGTAGTAAATACTGACGTATGTCCTTATGTTGTCTTACTGACGACTCAAAGCGCTCCAAGCCAAATCAATTCACTTCAATTTAGTTTTATTTATGTAGCGCCAAATCACAACAATAGTGGCCTTAAGGTGCTTTACATACAGAGAAATCAGAGAAAACCTCAACAATCAGAACCCCCACCCCCCATGAGCATGTGCTTTGGTGACAATAGGAAAGAAAAAACCCTTTTAACAGTAAGAAACCTCCAGCAGAACCACGCTCAGGGAGGGGAGGCCATCTGCTGCGACCCCCTGGGGGTTAGGGGAAGAAGATGGGACAAAGTCATGCTGTGGAATAGACCCAGAGATTAATAATAACTAATGATTAAATGCAAAGTGGTGTATGAACACATAGTGATGGGGAAAAAAACACATCTGACTGAAGAAGACGCAAAGCATCATGGAAAGCCCCCCAGCAGCCTAGAAATATTGGAGTGTATCTAAGGGAGAATTCAGGGTCACCTGATCCAACCCCAGCTATATGCTTTCTCAAATAAAATTTAAGCCTAATCTTAAAAGTAGAGAGGGTGTCTGTCGCCCGAATTCAAACAGGAAGCCGATTTCACCGAAGAAGGACCTGGAAGCTATTCTACTTTGGTGCTATTCAAAGGCTGTTTTCTTGTCCTGTCATTGTAATTATTGTTATTTAACGCTGTCATGCATGAATTATGACAACCTCAATCAGGATTTTTATTCATCTTTTCATGCCTAAAGATGATTGATTCTGGATTTAACTGTGAGCCAAAGAAGAGAGGCCAGTATGGAAGAGCTATGCTCTCTCTTTCTAGTCCCTATCAGGACTCTTGCTGCAGCATTTTGGATTAGCTGAAGGCTTTTCAGTGAGTTTTTAGGAAATCCTGATAATAATGAATTACAGTCGTCCAGCTTAGAAGTAATAAATGCATGAACTAGTTTTTCAGCATCAGCCTGAGACAGGAT